CCTTGCTTATCCTTTCTTGAAATCCTCTTGCCTTGAAGAGCCCTCCTCTTTCCATCGCATGTGTTATTTATTTAGATTTATACCACATTTAAAAAGGATCCATTCCAAGCACTGGGCACACTTGACAACCCCTTAAAAATACATTCACATGTAAATAGACTCCATTATTTGCCCACAAATAGTACTACCCAGCAGCATCATAAATATCATGAAAATGTAATAAACCCCTTCATACAAAATGCCTTACCCCTTTCCACTAAGGTACACACCTTACACTGGCTGAGGATCTGGCAGTAACACAAAACACTTAGTGTAATCTGGCAGGCAACACAACACCTGGAATATCTTCTTAAATGTGTTTCAGCTAAGTGTGAGGCTCTGTAACAGCTCTGTTTAAGAAACAAGTCCTAGAAAATACATGCCTAAACTGCATTTGCAACACCACAAAATCCCAACAGACCTGAGCTGTCTTTATTCACTATCTCAGTAAAAACCAGTACAGGCTGAAGAAGAAGAGACAGCTACAGCCTTTTAATAAAACATTCTGAACACAATTTGTTAGCTGAATCCTGTTTTCACTGCCACCAATGTAAAACCATACTAGCTTTTCACTTAAGTGGAGCTAATCTGGATTGATACCATTATGGTCAGGAGCAGGATTTGGCCTTCTCTCTATGTTTATATTTTCTTAGTATAATCTGCTCTGAAACAGGAGTACTTCCAAAAAGAGATGGAAATATTGCCTGGCTTCTTCCCCTTTCTGGTAAATGTAGTAGCTCAGTGTCTGGTACTGAAATGCTAGTAGTTAATGTTCTTACTTTAATACTTCACTAATCTTTCACTTCCTCTAGCAGCAGGACATGGGGAAGGGATCCTTCATCCTTCTCCAGCCATGCAAAAAACTCTCTACTTACAGATCAGTGCTAATGAATGGTACGATCTGTTCTACACAGATGTCAAAACACCCCATGCTTTAGTACCTGATCTTCACAATGTAGGGGACACACATAACCACTCTCATCCTCCTTTTACGGATGCTAAACCAGAGTAGATTGCTTCCACAACCTACCCAAGAGTGAGTAGAAACAGAGACAGGGCTTCTTGGCTCCTTGTCCTCTGCTCAGACCACTAAAGGGAGGTGAATTCAGCCAACCCCTGTCAGGATGGCACTGGGCACTATACACCAGTGGTACAAGGCTGCAGATAATGCAGTCTTTAACCTTTTCTGTGGCACATACAGACATGCGGAGTTGCACAGTCTTAAAGACAGGTCCGCTATTTTCTATGGCATATCTAACGAGCAGCAGAATGAAACATTAAGCATACACAAGTGCCTCGTCACATTATGTCAGCTGAACATCTTAAGGCTTGGAAGAGGACTGACTGCAAGTGCACAGTAGGGCAATCTACAGTTACTGAAATCACAGAGCTGACAACCTGATATTGGAGAATGTGCACTGCATTATTCTTGGCCCCACCCAAGAGACAGATACATAAGCTTTTCTCATTTGTGCCCACGTTCAAGTGCAGGGGAAAATATTTGTGGGTTCAAAATTAAACTGCAAAACTGGAGATTACCAGACTCAAAATCACACAGGTGCAATAATTACTCCACTGCCACTGGCTACAGCAAAGGAGACTCTAGAAATACAAAGGTGATAGCAACAAATCTTCCTAGATATACTATAATTCTGTGGGGTTGGGGGAGTCTAACATATTCACGTAGTTCCAATCTGGGTCTCACTGAAATCAAAACGTTGATTTAGCTGCAAAACATCATGAAGACCGAAACAATGCCTAGGTTTTCCCACCCCAATGACACAGTAAAAGTGTGTGCTTTAGGAAATCCAAAAATGACTAAGACTGCATTCATTTTTCTGCACCTGTTCTGAGGCATCACCAGGCTCATTTACAAGATCAAAATTCCAAAAATACTTACTTGTGGATGAAACAAGAATCCAGGGGAAGGTCTCAAGTACTTTTCTTTTAAAGCTTCAAGTGGATCAGTTAACTTTCTTTTCTCTACTCTGTAAATGTTAAAATTAGATTTGCTTGTGATGAATCAGTCTCAGACATTAATGCCTATTCAGTATTCATGCTCAAAATTGTCAACAATACATCCAGTAATTGGTTTCTCAGGCATAATCATAAAAGATAAGGTGGTACAGTCATCTCTTGATTCATTCACATAACTCTCATTAGCACTAATGGGAGTTGTGAACATCCATTAGCAGGAGATTAGACCCTTTACATTGGAAATAAGCCTATTTCAAAAGACCGATACTATTGATAATAGAAACTGATAATTATGTCGAGCACTTTTATCAAGAAATAGGGCCAAACTGCATTGTCCAAACACAAGAAAAAATTCCATTGAAGCCAATGGAAGTTTTCTGTATTAGGCGTATGGAAAAGGACCCTTTGAAAACTCTGCACAAAATCTTCTTCTATGAGAAACTTAGGCCCAGATCCTGCAAAGTTCTTCCAGGCACAGAAACCACTTGTATGGAACAGTTTGCAAGACTGAGCCTGAGCCTGAGCAGTATGCAAGACTGAGCACTGAATTTGACATCGTAGAAGTGAAGGTTATATTCAACAAATTGTGTATGATTACGTACTGAACCATGGGATCTAATCGTTTAGATGGCATTTTAGATCATCTTACATTCCCAATTATTGATTCAAATGATACAGTTCCTCAGGGACTGATTTTTGGCCCTTGCTCAGACATACTCTCACTGGCTTCAGTGGTAGATAGGCCTCAGTAACATTTGGCGATATTCCTGTTCTACAACTTCGCACACAGTATTATCTTTCACAGCACCACTGTATAACACTAAAAATGTCCATTAATTAGATCACGATGAATTAACAATATACAAGGAGAAATTCATACACGTTGGCATGAATTAAACTTCAGGATAAGTACCAAGTTGCTATCAACATTCCTTTCCCAGGCACACTCTTTATCTTAGCCCAGAGAGTGTGCTGCAAAAATTCTGCCAAGAGCAAGTTTTTGAAAGACAGTAATAAATTAAGATCTTTTGTGTTACAGTAACTTCTTTTTTACAATGGCCTCTTTGTGAAATGGGCCATTTAGATTAGGAACAAATAGTTTTTTATGGCTAATATTTCACTACGCCTATGTTTTCTGTAGATTACTTTAGAACTATGAATACAACTTATTGCAGATATGCAGGCAGGATATCAAAGTGCATACAGGTGCTGATGGATACAAAACATAGGTGAAAACTTAACCCCACTGAAGGCAATGGCAATACTTAGAGAAACTCAAAGGGGTTAGGATTTCACACCTGATTTCACACCTATGGCTTGCTCATAGGGTTTGCTTCCAGGCCCAAAAGCAGCAGCAAGGCTACCTTTGATTTAATGGTGAAGGAGCTGTACCCTACATGCATCTATTTATGACATTTTTGCAGAGCCAAAGCCAAATTCTGCCTTCAGTTACACTTAGAAATCTCAAAGAAATGAATGGGTTTCTCTAATGTAATGGATGGCAGAATTTCCCCCTTATTATCCATGTTCTTAAGAAACATCAGGCCAAACTGGGTTTGTGGTTGTACCTGTGTGAAACCCCTTCTACTTTAGGCAAAAGTAACCTAGAACACAGTTTGGCCCAGGGAAATTTTGAAACAGATTCTGTTTTGGAGTGGAGGTAGAACAGGATGTGGTGCTTTTGAAGAAAAAGGAGTTTGTAGAAAAAGAATTAAAAGAGTTTTTAATACATGTATATATCTAATGGTGGCACCACCCCATTTCTTGTTTAGTGAATATATTAAATTACTGCATACTGTAAATCAAAATGCACACTCAACTAAAGGGTCACTGAGACTACTCAGTGAAAGTGTTGACTATGCTCCTCAATTCTATGTTCCATTAGAGCCGATTACCTGTAAATAGGATCCATAAAGAATGGAGTGGGCCTGGCATGTTGTAAAGAGGACTCAGATGTTTTCCTTGATTCAAGTTCACCTCCTTTCTTTTCACCAAACACATGGTTTTTCCGAGGTTCAGCCTGTTTTGTACCACTGGCTCGACTTCTGCTACCCATGCTTAGGTCTAGAGGCTGGTCCTGGCTTGTCACAGGTGGAGCTGCTGGCTTGGTTGCTACAGGAGTAACGGGCTTCTCCTCCTTACGTTTAGTGGTGAGATCAAAGGGAGACTCAGAGCTTCCCTTTGGGATCTTCTTTATTTCACTTGGTGATTGGGGTTCCATTTTCAAAGGTAATGGTCTCAAGTCTCTATCAGGAAATGGATACATTGATTGAGAGAATGCTGGAAAAAATGGGAGGGGAAACATGGAAGGGTAAGGTAAAGCTCCAACTTTTTTGTCTTGCAGCCCCACAAGTCCTGTTGAACCAAAGTATTTCTCAGCAATAGAAGCAATAGCCTTTATAGAATCATTCACAGCTCCTGAAACCGCAGTTTGCTCCTCTAAAGATGGTGAGAAAATGGAATGATTGTTGTGTTCTTTCTTATTATTTATTGAAGCCAAATTCTGAAGAGAGCTTACTTTGTCTTTGAACATTTTACCATTTTCTTTAAATTTCTCTTTATCACTTTCAATGTCACTCTCCAGATCAGAGCCCGAGGTGGTCTCCAAGTCACTGCCACTGGGGGTACTGACATCATCAAGGTCACTACTCTCTGACTGGTCACTGATTTTTTCGTGCGGCCTCTCTTCAGAGGACCTCTCTGGTTGAAGCTCCACTGGCTTATTTTCACCTACAGATGGTTGTTTATTTAGTGCCTTCAAAATATCCTGTGTAGCTGGCAGTATCTGAGGATTTGTCATGAGGGGACTTTGACTTTTGTTTGTCTGGTCTGTGCTTGGTAGTCCTTTAACAGGAGAACTAGCAGGTATCAAAGGTGGCCTGTGGTACAAGCCTGAAGGAAACAGACCAGGGAAGCTAAAAGAAAATCCAGGAGCTGTTGGAAAGGTAAGACCAGCAGGATGCCTATTGGCTCCAAAATAGTCAGCAAGGCCCGGATTTGCATGATTCATATTAACCATGGACGTTTTATCCATAGCTGGGGTTCCAGGAAGTGAAATGCCTTGGCCAAAAAATCCTCCTGCTGCAAAATGGTTCTTTCCTTCACAAAATCTCCTGTGTTTATTTAAGGAAGACGTAGTGCTGAACATTTGTCCACAGTCTTTGCACTTGATTTGGGTTCTGCAATCAGCATGCATGCGCTTATGACGACAAAGGTTTGAAAACTGAGTATAGGATTTATGGCAGACCTCACCTGTGTGTAAACAACAACAATAACACATCTCAGGCTTTATGATAATTTTCCCCCTTATGAAATTTTGAAATAAAACAATTTGTTACCCCCAAAACGTCAATTTGGAAGCCATAGGAGAAGTCTGGGAGATTAATCTAGATACACAAAACACATGAAAACTAATTTTCCAAAGCAAGGCATCCAACCAGACAAATGTCTCAAGGCAGCACCAAACCCTCCCCTCCCCCCAAATGAATAACTACAAAGTATACATATGTTCATTGTTCATACTTATCTTGCTCAGTGTTTAAAATTCATTACAATTGTTTTTATACTACACTAGCACCCCCCTTCATCAGACAAAAAACACACACATTAAGATGCTACCCCTAGAAATATTTGTACATGTAAGTAGCTGTAACCTTGAATACATCCACTGATTTCAATGAGACCATTTATGTGTTTCAAGACAGACTTTTTCCTGAGCATTGGCAAGGTTGAAGCCACAAACACAGAGAGACTCCCTGCCCCAAATAGCTTACAGTCTAAAAAGCAAATGGAAATACGGAGAGTAGAGGAGAGGGAAACAATCAGATCTATGCATGCACATATTAATATTAAGAAAATCAATCCTCTGCATTTACAACTGACATGTTAACTGCATGAAAGCCATGACATTTGAAATTATGATGTCTAAAGAGACCATAATCTGGTATCCTGGAACACTTGTAAATCCTTCTGTTGCTGCCTATAGTGTAATGCAATGCATATGGTCAGTGTGGTAGTTACAGATGCTCTGGAAGCCACAATTTTAAACATAATGCCTTGTGTAGTTATAAGCTTAGCCCGTAATGCTGTGTTAATGTAGCTTGTTTGTTTGTTGCTTGCATGTGGAGAGGAAGAAAATACACTCTATTTCAACAACTATTTCCTCAAAAATGCAGCTGTATTTTTTGGAATATCTGAAACACAAAACAGCTCAGTGGATTTCCTTCACACTCCTCTGGGATGAGAGCAATTACAGCTCCAAATAGTAGCATTTGGAGAAACCCAGAAGCCAGCAGGATTATGGAGTCCAATGTTTATATGATTGGCTTGGTCTGCACTACAACATTTACTATGGTTGAGTACCGTGTCCAACAAATACATTAGGAGGCTGAAGGTGGTCTAGAACATGGTAACATTTTGTAGTGGAACCTGGGCCATTGAAGCATATAGGATTTTTTGCTTTCAGCCAGAACATCCTATCAAATGACAACTACAGGGTCATTATTGCAAAAATGTAACTTCTACTTTGTGAGGCTTTGTTTTCATGTCATCTTGAAAACATGTAGTTGAATCCTTGATTTCTCTCCTTTATGAACTTTGCTGACCAAGGCAAATAATGTTTGGAGTGGCAAACATTACATAGAGGCAAGAAGCCAAATAGTTAAAAATCTGGTTCCATAAGAATACCTCTACACATTGCCCTACATCACGGTAGCGATGCGCTACATTGCCATACAACACGCTACAGTAATGTAGCAATCATGTGAGTCTACATATGACTGGCAGCTACTTCACCATAGCAGCATACTTTTAGCATGCCACTACAGCAAAGTAGTGGCTAAAACTAACCATGCACCACGCACACGGTGCAGTACAGGCAGTTACTGTGCCGTGCTTCAGTATTTCTTTTTGGAAGTACTAAAGCATGGTACAGTAACAATGCCGCTGTAGGGTGACATGTGACATGCCCTAGACCCCAATCCCTCACACATATAAGCATGGGTAATTTCTTTAATTAAAGTAGTCCTAATGAACTCAGCAGGATTGCTCCTGGGGGTAAAGTTACTCGCGTACATAAGTGTTCACAGAATCAGGACCCTAGTCTGCTCTTAGTTATAGGCTGCTACATGCAGTTTGACGTTCTGAATAGAAAGGGAAATCAAACCCCTAAGGGCACTACAATGATCTTCGCTAGTGAGGCCTAAAGAAATCTGATCAAGAGATTATTTTTGAAGGAGGCAATGTGGGTTGCCAGTCACACTGCAAAACAGACTGCAAATTCATTCAGAAAGCTCTTATGTTTGACTCACAGCTACTTTAGGTTACATTGGCCTGAATGCTTTTTACATATCCTTTTTAGTGTCGTTAACAAACACACACACACGTACGTATACACACCATTCATCTGAAAATTGCCAAAGTTAAAGCATAAAATTCTTTATGTTGAAGTCTGGCCCCACTGTCAAGTCATTTTGCTGTTAACAGGTCTAGATTTGTTCAAAATCAAAATTAGATAATATTATGCCTCTACCAACAACTCCAATTTTGTCTTCAGAGGGAAAGCATGCAGCTATTTTATTTTTATATAATTTGTGTTATATCATATGCTCTCATCTTTCACACATCAAAGCCACACAACAATACACATTGTGCATTCTGAGACCTTTTTAACAATCATTTTCATGATTTGAGACAGGCTGACATAATTTACAATGGCTCTATTTTAAGCCTGCAAAGGAAACTGAATTGAATGTATCCCATCCTGCACTGTTGGTTCCCATGAACTGTAATCACGTCCTCTAACTTCCACTCACACCAGGGCCTGTGCTAACCTTCCTGCACTTCTAAACCTCTGCCCTTGAGAAACTTGAACACTTGTTGTCATGTCTTAATTGTTTACCTCTGTAGAAGGCTGCTTCACATCACAGCAACAGTGCTTCCATTGTCCTAGGACCTGATCCTGACTTCACTGCTCATACATGGGTTTTTTTCCTTGTTCTCATTGATATCATTGGGACAACTCAGGGTTGCAAAGGTTGCAGGATTGGGCCCAGCCACAGGAAATTTGTGATGTTAGACTTCAGGAAGAATGCCTGTAACTATGTATCAGTTCACATTCCTGTGAGATACCTTCATTCACAAAGAAGATTACAAATAAAAAATGCTGAAGCTTTCCTAGTGTGCCTATTAGAAATTTTACTAGAATTAGGTTTTTGCAAACTAAAATTGTGCATACTAGTACTAGGTATTCTCATACTAAATGGGTTTTGTTTCCTAATTTGGGGGAGTGGAGAGACTCCATGTTCCTAGTTAATTAAAGATGTCAGGGCAAGAATTTATTTGTTGCGATATACCACTTTTAAGGTTTTCCTGCATAAAATTAGCATAGAGTTCCCAAACCCATTCCCACTGAAACACTGTCAAAATGTCCAGGTGCAAAATGAGGCCCATAAAGACCAGGGCTGAATTGTGAAACTTAGTCGTGCTGGTGAGCACCTATTCAAACGAATAGTCAACAGGTTACCCAGGGAACTAATCATGCAAGCCATAATCAAATAGCTACTATAATGTGGTATTACTTGGATGAGTAATTTCTAACTGTGAGTTTCACAATCTAGATCCTGTTGGTCAAGTCCTCACCTAGTGTAAATCAGTGTAGCTCCTCTGAGCCTGTGGAGTTCTGCCAAATGATATCGGTGAAGGACCAGGCCATATTTAGTTAGCAAAATATATGATCCTATTCTATATTTTCATAACACTTATCTACACTTCTTAAACTATTCTATATTAGGAAACTACAATATGAGGAAAACTGGAAAATATTTTATTTCCAGGGAAGAACAAAATATTATATCCTCACAAGTTAATAGTAGCCTTGGAAAACTGTTAAAGGCAGTGCAGATTCAGCCATAAAATGCTTAATGTAAATTCATATAGATGTTAAAACTAAACTAAGACATTACTGAAATCATGAAATAAAAATAACAGGAACATGCAGGTGTATTTTACTGTAATGCCTGACATATATGTAAAAGCTGTAACAGAGAATTTCCATTTTTTGCCATAAAATGCAGTTTTTTTAAATTAGATATTCCCCATGCAATATTCTCAGATATTTAAGTGATAAAACAGTAAAACAGGAAATCATGTAATTGTTACTCTATGGACTTACATAGGCCCAGTCCTCCAATCTTTATTCACCAGAGTAGTCTTATTCATGTGGGTTCTCTCACAGAAGCTGTGTGCTACTGAATTTTACATAAAACACCCTTTGTTTTTATTGGGGAATTCTGCATATGGATAATTGCACAGTGTGGTCCAATGGGATTACTCACATAAGCAAGAACTATTTCAATGAGTTAAGATTATAAAATGAAGCCCTTTTTTTCCACGTGATTTTTTTTCCAAGTAAAGTTTTGCTTAAAATTCAGCAGATGGAGGAAGGTTATCAACTTTAATTGCTTCCACATATTAAAGCAATAGAAGCTGGATTTGCTTTCTATGATTGCATTTTACTGTGTCCTTGATGTTCTACCTCTCTATCTTTACTCTCAGCAGCTAGCCTATAAGTGTAGCTTCCCATCTCCTTGCAGGTTTTTATCACTCGGTAGACCCCCCAAGTCTAACAGAAACCGCAGCCCTCCCACTCCATCCCCCAAGGTATATGAATTCATCTGATGCTAAGTGTATTCTGGGATTTTCTTAGAACCCAGAAATTAGCTAGCAGTTAAGTTTGCATATTTTGTGCTTATTAAACAAATTACTCTAAGTACTATTTTGAATATGTTCGCTTTATTATGGCATGTGGTTTCTATTTGGAAAGGCTGGAGATTTTGTGAAGGCAGTGAGTAATTACCTTCGTGTTGGTGAGTTTTCACTCAAGCTTGGGCAGAATACTGTAATAAGAGTCAGTTGCCATAAACAGACTGGTAGGGTAAATCATGGTGTGTGGCCTTTTGCTGGGAAACAGATATCTCGTTTAGGTGACCCTGTCCCCCCTCCCTCAACGTTCAGAAAATCCTACTCTACATGTGACCTCCAAATTCTTTTGTTCTGTAATTACATGGCTATTATTTATGATTGTTCTATGGTTTTCCATCCATTGCACTTTGCATTTGAAGAACCACAGTCACTGTTTTGATTTACCAGAGATCACTGAAAACAAGTTAATGAAAAGCATTTTACACGTGATTTAATCTGAAAAGAATTGTAGTTTTATACAGAGTAATTCAAAAGCATCTCTGGCTACAATACTTGAATAGCCCTACATGGCAGGAAGCTATTGTTTTTTTAATTATCAATTGTAAAAACTCCTTGTAATCCCAGTTAAAAAAACACAGACACACACACAGACACACACATACATTAAACAAATATTTTAATTGGTCCTAGCTAATTATATATTGGCTACGTAAATAAGTATGAATTAGTTTAGTGGCAGATGCACAGCTCTTTCAGGAACATGTCTTTTAAGTCATTACCACTTACACTGATGTATTATCATGACCCAAAACACATGTCATAGAACTATTGAACTGCTCCCTTGATGTACATATGCTGAGTGTTTCAATATACTGCAAAGGTTAATACTACAGCTGTTGGAATCAGATTACTAGTGGCTCAAATGTTAGAGAAAAGTCCATGTAGACTATTACGAAATTGCAGGCTTGTCCTCTCTGTCCATTAGACTAGCTGCCTGTTTGACCTTACACCTTTTCACTGTGTTTGTCTGGATGCTGAAGATCTGCTGTGTAATTTAGTCTACCTCTGAATGAGTTAGGCTGACCTGCGCCTGAAGCAGCGAGTTTAAAAAGGTGAAATGGAGTCACCTTGAAAAAGGTACGAGGATACTTTTTTTTGGCGTGCTAGTATAGAAAATAGGGGCATGGTAGGGAAAAAAAGAGGCGGGTGTATGGAGACAAAATGTTTTCATAGGCTTGGAGAAAGATTTAAGAATCTCTTGTGATTGAATGGCAAAAGGAGAAAATTGCTTGTATTTTCTGTCTTGGGGTGCTGTTTCATTGCTAAAAGGGGCAGAAGGCCTGGTATTACCAATTATCAGGAACCCCAGTCCTGCATTAGGATCTGACAGTACAATCTCATTGCAATCAAAGAGGATTTCTTTGCATAGTGCTGGGGTCTGCACTAATATGCCTTGAAGCAGAATCAGAACTGGGGAGGGGTTCATTTTAAAAAGCTCATTTTTAAAGTTATAGAAGGTTCAATCAATACTTAAGAGTGGGATTTACAAAGGCTATTAAAGGAGTTAAAATAATTTCCTATAACCCAAAGGTTCATCTGTAAATCCTAGCCTACGTGGTGGGATCTGATCTTGTAGGGAGACCTCCTGTTAACCGCCATGGTTAATTTCCAAAGCAATACAGAACTTCAGGTCACATTTTTCCCCACTAACTCCCAGAATCCAGTGAGGCTTTGCTAAC